TCATTCACTGAAACAAACGATCAACAATTCGCCGAGTCGTTCCAGAGCCCAAATTAGTATCGTAATTCAAATGAGAAATGAGCATATCGGCCTCAACTCATATCTATAAAGAAGAAATGTCCCTAGAGCGGCAAACCCAAGATCTCAGTGTGAATATCTATCACAAAGCGCGAAACATGTGGTCCTGGCTTCTCATCAGTAGGCTAAGGGAAGAGGAGAGGTGCTGCGATAGACAAAAGATATATCTTTTGAGGCTATGACGACCAGCCCTATTTACATGAAGACAATTACAGAGTGGATACTTGCCAATGGCGGTTATGAACAGTTCTCGCTTGCAAAAGTAGTTGTGATAGAAGTCAATGAAAGGATGAAGCGATCTGGATAAGGATAAGATACAACTAATACTGGATGAACTGTGTTCATGCAGCATCTGAATGAAACCCCCAATAGCGATAGAAAAGAGACAGGTAGAATCAGGGGATTATCATTGAATTGGTTTCCTCCTAAGCAAATACTATAGCTATGTAAGCCTGTGCGGAACCAGAGGGTAGCTGAACGGGATGAATGAAATCAATTTTATATTGACATGAAGGATAATAGTCTAGGTAATGAATAGTGCTTGTGGTGCAAATCATTTGAGCGTAGAAGTCCTCTTGCCTAATGGGGGACTATTCTCAACACTTGTTAGTGGTGTCCCCTACGAGCCTCCAGCTCTCACGGTGGAGTCTGCAAAGCCAAGATTGAGTAACACCTATTCAACTTTGAGCTGAGTTATCTCCTCCTCCATCAAAGACACGCTTTGGATAACTCATAGACGACAAATACGACGATAATGATGCTGGTAATGAGCAAAGATAATGCGGTACCAAACGCTATAACGATAGTCAGAGAAGCCCTCGTTAGATTACAATATGAGTTACCCACCGGCGGGCGAACAAAAAGCCCACGAAAGCAAAGTAGAAGATCCTTCCGCCCTCGAGAAAAGCAGATTTCGACTCGTCAAAAATATCGTCCCCAAAAATCTTAACTTCCGAACATACTAGCCAGGAGGGCGTCTGAAATACATATGTTACTCGAAAACCCCACGCTCGCAACAACTTTGGGGTGCTAGACTAGGCACTTTCACGGCAGTCATTCTCAACCAAGACTTTTCTTACATCCTTTCACGACCTTCGGTTTATCCTGCGGCATGAATCAAAGGAGGAGTAAGAGGGAGGCTAGGAAGGTTGAGAGATGCTCTTGGCTATACACAGGTCTGCTGCGCTCGGCTGTCCGGCCTCTTCATCATAGGAGAGCCCCGCACCCCGTGGTTATTGAGACTTCGCCCTGCAGCTACACACTCGCAAATGGCCATCGTTTTTTTGGCTGGAGAGGGGAGATAATGATGGGATAATGCTTCCTCTTAATGTGTACTCGAATGAAGACCTGTGGGGGTGTTGCTACTGGAAAGAAGTCGTGAAGGAGGCATAGAAACTCCCGGCCTGTAGGTAGTAAGGATCTATATATCCTTACACAGTCATTGACATTATAGGACAATAAACATATACATAAACACAAATGAGCCTTCAATAATTTAACGTCGGTTCAGCGGGTAAAAACAGGCTTTGCACAGACAGCAAAGGATGAACTCGCAGGGAAAGAGCTCCTGGATTACTCCGCGGCACTGAGGGAATCTGGAATAAATCTAGAGCCAGCATCAAATCTGGTTGCATTACATATAGCCACCGTCCCGCTGAGAATTAACACACTCACAGGTTCCGTTTTCATCACTGAAATGATGGTCGCCGATGTTTGTTTGTTTTCTATTTAACGTCTATCTTAAATCAGGCCCAGGCCTGTGTTATCTAAAATCCAAGTGGAAAAAGGACGCCAAAGCTTACTGCCTCAGTTGTCGGAGGCCCACGACTCCCTAACCTAGGGAAATGAAACCTGATCTACAAAATAAGAGAGTATCCGATGACTAAGATACAATTATGGTAAATGATATAAATGATGTGTAAGGGAAAAAAATTAAAAATCAAAAATAAACCCCTTTGGTGTAAGTGCAATACCCACGGATATGAGGGCAAGTTAGTACGTAATGAGTTGTTACAAAGCAAGTTGAAAGGTTGCCACCTTGATTTCTATCTTATCAAAGTTCCATCTGCTCATCTGACGCCCCGGCCGATATCTTCAAAATCTCAAAAGGGTTTAAGAAGATAGTCCGCTTGCATGCGGCTGTAGATCGTGTTGATGGTCCTGCTACTTGGGAAACTGCAGGATAGCTAGTGCGCTGTGCTGTGTGAGAGGTGCTGGAGCCCTGCGGGGTGGCAGAATGCTTAACGCATCCAGCTTCTGCTTGGCGGCGGATGCGCGCCTCAGAGAAGATCTTGATGGTCGCCGATGAAGTCACGCGAGTGACAAAATCGGTTCCCTTCCTTGTTCGTCCTCACGGGACCTGCAAACCGGGGCGCCATACTAGAACTGGCAAGCGCTCTTCGATGCCTCTGGAGCTGCAAAGCTCTTTCAACCTCGTCGAAAAATAGTACAGTACAATCGATATCTTGGCTTCCATGCCTCTCGCGGTTGCTCCCGCGCTCCGGCTTGCTGGAACTGCGGATCAAAAATGCACTCGGAAACGGAGTGCAAAGCCCCCACACGATGCCGAAACTGTGGTGGACCTCATCAATCGGACTCACGGTTCTAAAAAGGCCAAACCCAGCAAGTTCGGCCCGATGAAAAAGAGCAGCTCGCGATAATTCACAAGGTCGAGCAGAATAATCACGCAAATTATGCGTGAATCAAAGCTGCAGCCGAAATAACCATTCAGGCGATTCACGGCGCGAAGAGCGACGTCTACATGTCAGACGGATCGGGGTTTGGGATTCTAGAATCTGAAGAGGAGGTTCAAGGCTACGGCGTGCCTCAGTGAAGTCGTCGAGGCTTCAACAAGTTAATAGGACACCAGATGGATAAAGAGTGCCTGCGAGCTCATCTTCTGCTCTCAGCGAAGATCAGAAATTGGCACTTGGAAGATGTGAGAGGAAAGGGAACGAGCGAGAAGCGCGGGATGCGGACCTAATTGGAATTTCCTCTGAATTTGATTTTAGTTTTGCTGTCAACAGTATTATTTATGTGGAAGTTCACGCGGTTGGAATGAGATGGACCTGTGTACGGTGATCCTTACCGGCTCCACCAGTCCTGTACCAATAGTAGGATGTAGAGCTTTTTACTTAGGTCGGGATTTTAAAAACTCAACAACAAGTGAGCCTTAGAATCTACCTCATAGTGGTATTTGCAACTGAAATACAGAGTATGAGTGTCTCTAAAGTCAAAAGAGTAATCTAATATCTATACATAACACCGGTCATGTTTCACAGCTTAATTGCTGCATACACATTAAATGACTTGAAAATAAGAGCCTTGGAATTGGCCATGAATGTTACAGGCTTGGCCCGGTTGAGGGTGGCTCGGCTGTTTATGGTTATAGAACCTATCCTAGTAACATGGGTGCAAGCGAATTCGTAAATCTACTTGGTGTGCTGTAGTATCATTGGGTTTCGTGTAAAGGCACAGGGGATCCGAAACAGGCAATGTACTTGTAAATCGCCCAAGCCTCCCGCTACCACATCCTCCATGGAAATTATTAACATTCAGTTGTGGAATTGCTTTCGTACATTTGCAGAGAATCGTAGCCCGTCACAATGATTCGTTAAAACGATGTCTATACAAAGACGTAGGTGACTGGGATGACAGAAATTTTGAGGATGGTTATTTCAATGACTTAAGCTTAATGCTTTGCTGTTTTGGAATTTGACTAGACACATTGAAGGCCTAGGACGCATCGAGCAATGCCAGCTGATTGCATTTCTCCAAGGGCCACTCACGCGATGGCCATGTCCATCAGACTCATCAGATCCAATTAGTACGATAAATACTGTGTGTTTTCTGGGGACCGGTCGTTTTCAAGACTGGTAAGCTAGCCCTACACAAATATCTATCAGACTCATTGATCTGCCCAGACGGCCTGATGACCTCTCGCAAAGCTTGCTTTGCGCTTGGCACTATCAAGACCCTCAGGGTGTCTTACAGACCCCACACAGGCACGTGAGGGGGTCAAGTCGCTAATTTATCAGTTGGCCAGTGTGATAAATGCAGATAGGCCGTCCAAACTTGCTGATAGAAACGCATGACTTGGTATAGCGCCTTGACCATCGATAGCACTGCTACCTAAAAAATTTGGCCGAGCACGCGCATCAATTCAAAGCGTTAACAAGCGTTATTGCTTTTCCATTCTTGTAAGTCGACAAATACCTTTCATCAGACTGAATTGAAAATCAGTACTAGTCAACGAAGCTACAGTAGTGTAGATTTCTGCGCTTCAACATATAGAGTGTTGGAGACTAAAATTTCATCGCATATTTTACCACTGAGGAATGGAACAGGACGATTATTAATCCTACTCACTTTCCAAATAATTTAGTTGTAACTTCATGAATATGTTTCTGACAGTGGTCATATACCTATCATATTTCAGTTGGAGGGTAAAATTTGAAGTATGTTTATTAGTTTTATTCCTTTCCCAGTTATTAGGGGGCTACTATATGTGAGGCCACATTATTAATTGGCTTCCTGTAACGGGACTTCCCAAGTCCAGAAACCATAGACTCCCCGTTCAAACATAAAGGTAAGAGCTAACTTGAGGAATTTAGACAATATCTGATCAAGTACTGCGTATATTACATTCAATTAATATAGTGAAATATACGAGTCGTAATAGAGGTTACATTTCGAATAGGTAACCAAGTTTATTGGGGTTACTTCACCCTGTCTTTTGGTACTTTGTAGTTTGCAGGCTTCTACGGGCTGTTTTAAATAAAGATTGTGGAGAAGTGCCTGGAAAAATCTCGTATGCGTGGATCTAGTTTTGAGTGCCAGAATACAACTTCAAGCACACTGGGCGCAAGACTGTCACATAATCACCTAACCATTGTGAATTATTTTCCCGTTCAAGATCCGCTTTAGCCGCGCATTTCGTGCAGGTTGCTTACGGGCGCTTCAAAAACTGGGTCGGGTTTAAGGTTATGAGGTGAATAAGGATGGTGCTGAGTAGTTTCCGAGACAGGGTAACTCTGGGGGCTAGAATAACTTTCATAAGCATCATTTTGCTCCATGGGTAAATGCCGGGTTCTTGAGTTCACTAGACTGAGAGATGCTGCTGCTGGATTTCGTTCGTTTGAGTTTTTATGTGATTCGCGATAGAAGAGAAAGCCGAGGAGGCCAACAACAAAGACACCGAGCGGAATTCCCACTCCCAACCCGACTTTGGTGGCAATATCTTGACCGGCTGATGAAGGCACATTGGTTATATTAGTTGTGTTAGAGCCAGATGAGGAACTGATATCGTTGAGCATTATATCGAGACCTGGTTTATATATAGGTCCAGAATTCCCTAGACGGAATTGGTCGTTGCAACAAGAAGATCCATTTGAATAGCTACAGCAGTAGCTTTCACCTTGAGTTCCAGGCGATGCACACGGTAAAATGGAAGTAGACTGGCTATATTTTCGACGCGTTGAGGGATCTGTTTATTTTCGCGCGTCAATTAAGTTATACCACCACACAAGTTTATGGAGATTACGCGCACCTGTTATACATTGAGGCCATTCCCTTGAACCACAATTTGGAGAATTCCAGCTCTGATCGGTACACGTTCCACGATAAGCACCGTACATGCTAACACACAATCCAGACGAGCAAGCGTCGTGAGAGTTGCAACAGGCAGAAGCTGTATTGATAGTTTGATTGCAGGGCACATGACTGGGGTCACTGGTTACGCCATCGGGATACCAACACGTTGAGGCGGCGTCGCAGCCCGTAGCCAAAATTAGGGAAGCAAGTAGGAAATTTAGATGCATTTTGGCGTTCTTATCGAGTACGAGAGAGTGCTAGCAGAGGAATAGACGTGCTCGGCGCTCCAAGCTGAATGGAGAGTTGTACGCCTCAGCTAATCGGAAAAGTCTCGATCTAGATGGAGTTTAGAAAGCCAAGAAATACGCATGTTTTTGGGGAGAGCCGAGCTAGGATATCAGTAAGGAGCTCGCAAATCTTTAGAGTGACTATCCTATATTTGGTTAGAGTGCATCGTTAAGCGCTTGCTAGGATTTTAGCGTAGATAAATGTGGATCGTCAAATCAGGGCGAACGGAGGCACTTGAGAGTGCATTATGATGAGCCTGCCATAGAGCCTCAGTGCGCTTAACGTCTTTTGTTTGGTTAATCCCAAATCAGGGCGGTTCGAGCCCACCAATCATGACCCTATCATTGCTCGTAGGGGCCAGGGGTGTAGAACCTTTGTTGTATGCAAGTTATGTAAAACAAATATGTTCATTCCTTTCGTAAAATATGAGGGCCATAGTTCATCTGCTTCGAGTGCAGGCAAGTAAATTTTTCAAAACCAAGCTAGTGATAGAAAAGGAGCAAGAAAAGATGGGTAGCATTACATCGTCTGCAGTGAGACTCGTCAACTCGGGATCAAGACATCTGTGGCCAACATAACAATTTCGACGTGGCGTAACCAGTAATTAAATCAACAAAATATGAGCATCGATCAATCATCGCCATAACTCTGTGCTTAATGTGGTTTGATGAACGGTAAAGGTAACGAATGTAAGTACATCGACCTATCTTATTTTTAGACTTTAGTATAATTTGTGGACAGGGAAGCGATGCTTGAGCTCACTTCACCCATGTTCTAAAAGCGCCATAATCCCTGAAAATAAGAAGAAGCAATGTCGGCCACAAATCGCAGAGCCACTTCAGGGATCAGCTCTTCTTGTTTAAGGCGCGAGGCTTGTCTACATCTGACTGTAAGATTACCCTAAGATAATTTTCTGGGGAAACAGTGCAGTGTAGCGAAAGGTTTTTGTTGACACAAAATAAGCCATGATAACTTCGTTACAACTATTGAGTTTCACCACAGCTGCGTGGATCCCCTATCAAGTGTGCGTTCCATCAAAATTTGAAGGTTGTTGGCGTGTGTAGATTGTGGTCTGAACAATCTTAGCAAACATGGATAGGTCACTGTAAGTCGATGTTAGTGAGGAATGGAAAAAGCTTCTGAGAGGTACTTGATAGCACCAAGGAAGGGTTGGATGGTACAGTAGTACATATTCGGACCGTTCTCCCAAGTAGGCTCTGGGTAGCTTGAACATCTACCCTATTTGAGACAGGGGAAAGCCGGCTCGAATCCAGTAAATCCCAGACACCACACTCTCTCGCAATGACACTGTATTTGTGGGATGATGAAAGTACACTCGAATAACCATGAGGGTTTCACGCTTTTACCTGTGGTGGGTATGCACGGAAGAGGTTATACGCCGTAAGGGTTAGCCACGAGTGGTATCTGTTGAGACTTAATATATACATTATGATTACGGGGTAAATAACGTATGGGTCACATATTTACCTAACTGTTAGTGGTCACCTGTTGGACAGGAAGTCTGCATGACATGTTGTGTTATGGAAGATACAGGTCACGTGATAGTGGCCTTCGGATACAAAGCAAGAGGCGGAGAGGCAGATCGCTTGCTCAGTTTAGGACACGAGTAAAGGACATGAGTAGAAGACATTAGTGTTGGCTCTACAGAGCTGGATCACTCGTGGACTATGAATGGTGTATATATGACTGGATATGTGTATTGTAATTTTGGTAAGTCTTTATTAGTGTAACAATTGTTATTTTATTCCAACAGTATCTGCAAATTAAATATGAGTGTGAGTGTTCTAAACGTCAAATTGAATCATCCTCTTAAAGTAGATATCTTCCGATAAAAACGTGCATGGGCCTCAAGGCGCCAAATCATGACAATTGAATAATTTTTTTTAAAATCTATTTTACTCGCATTTAAACCCCTGAAGTTGCCTTGGAACACCAAAGGCTTGTTGACAACATACCTTCAACAACAGCCATTGTCTACACTGATGGCTCCCTCACACAAGGAAAAGGCAGCAGTATAGGATTTGTTATTTATCTCCCAGTCACTAGGGAGATGAAATGCTTCTCCTTCAACCTTGGTCAAACTATGGGTATCACAGATACAGAGACCTTCTGTATTTTCAAGGCAATTAAACACCTCAAAAATATCTCACCACAAGGTCACTATCATATCTTCAGTGATAGCCAGGCTAGTCTAATGAGAATTCAAAACAAAGAAAATTCCTTTTCACATCAAATCAGACAAGAGGCAGAAAGTTGCTCAATACAACTCTCCTGGTGCCCTGGACATGTTGGTATAGTAGGCAATGAGCTTGCTGACAACTTAGCCAGAGGAGCCAGCAAAAAGATGGTGCTGAGAAGGAATAAATTCACATCACATGCTTTCCTCAAGCAGAGAGCAAAGGAGCTGGTATTGGAGGCCTGGGAAAAGGACTGGATGTCTGAACTTTTTCGTGAGGAAGAGGGAAGAAAGAGCTCTGGCCTTGGCAAGTATTATAGAATCCAGGCCCAAATGTTAACTCCAAAATTTTCAACAAATCCACCAAGTTTTCAAGGCCACAGTAGGGAAGTAGAATCTGCATATTTTCAGGCCAGGACTGGTATTGGGAATGTCAGAGCATACCTGAACAAAATTGGAAAAACAAAAGACAACAGATGTAATTTCTGCAAAAAAGGAAAGCAAACCATGCAACATTTGATACTTTACTGTCAAAAATTTTCAGATGAAAGAAATAAAAATTTAAAAAATATTGAACCACTCAATCTTCCTATTCTTCTGCAAACAAAGCGAGGGAAACAAGCATTACTTAATTTTCTTCAAGCTTCTAAGTGCATTCATGCATATAAAGGAGGATGATTAGAACAAGACATATTGGAAAAACATGTAATAAATAAATTTGTATTTTATGATTCATAGATAACTTTAGATAAATTGTCATAGCTATATAGCTGAATACAATATGAAAAAAAAAAAAAAAAAAACCCCTGAAGTTGGGAATCAGTGATGAAAATAGTAAGTTAGTTTTAATTCTAGCAATATGCATACGCGACAAGCTTAAACTTAGAGTGCAGGCGACACTATAAAAACTGCCAAGGTTGGATGGTGCGGTGGTACATCATCTTGGCCGGTCTGTCAAGTAAAGTCTGGATATCTTGGACACATATCCCACTCGAAACAGTAGATCGCTGATTCAAATCTAGTAAAACACAACCACTTTTCTCACGGTGCTGGCATGCATGGATGACAAAGGCATGCTTAGATAATCAAAGGTTTTTAAATTCCCTTTGGTGGGTACTAACGGGGGAGGGTCGACTGTTTGTGTAAGCAAACATACCTCATAGTGGTATTTGCAAATGAAATCCAGAGTATGAGTGTCTCTAACGTCAAAAGAGTCATCCCACATGTATACATAGCGCCGGTCATGTGTCATAGCTAGATAGCTGAATACACATTAAATGATTTAAAAAAAAAGGTTAAAATTATTTAGATTTATTAAGGAAATAATGACCCCTCAGTCATTGAGGTTGTGAAGCGCAATGATTCAAGTGACTACCGAAGTAAATTTAAGTACAGAATTTGTAGTCACGTGTGTAACGACAACGTGGCCTATTTGATAGCCCCAATTATTCCAAATTCTCACAATATGGAGGAATAACATAGGATAGTGTAAGAGCCTAATGAATTAAGATGTACTTGAAAGACAATAACTCGATAGGAATTAATAACTTCTTCCTTTAGAAGAAAATCTACCACGTACTCTCCCATCCCTTATATGTTCTGTGTAGACTAGTCTTAACTCCCTCCATTAGCCACCTGAGAATCATCCTTTCGCCCCGGCTCATCTATTCTCCTGTGCCATACTTCCCGTTTGGTACGTGTAATCCTTGATACCTCCTTAGCGCCCCATTCACATTTCCATGAGCGTTGCTCTGCCACAGCCTAAACTCGAAGACGGAGTGGTCCTAGTGATCAGTCCCAATCCGGGCAAAACCCGTCACAGATAGACAATATAGATAATAGATTCAGACGATTTTTACCACTACCCATATAATGCTATTTAGTCCATCACGATAAACTTTATACAATCACCTATGCAAATTTGAGTGGTGAAATTGTTGATAGATTTTTCATTAAAGTGCTAGGATATATGACACCCATCGCACTCTTACTGTAGCTTAAGCACGAGTTGGGCCAGGCCGCATTAGGTTGAATACTGTAAAGTACAAGTGACTCGTCCAACCAAAATGACCAGCATCATACCAAAACGCATTTATGTGTTGAATCGTGACGAGTTCAGTAGCCAAAAATAAAAACAAAAGAAAAATTTCACAAGAAAACCCGCATTACAAAATGAAAACATTTAAAAAATCCCCCATCCGACATTCTTTCTCAGCCACAACGCGCCCGAGCCTCGATTTGAATCTCTCTTTTCATGCCGAACCACCTAGGCTACAGATCTATAGCCCCCTGTCGCAGGTATCCCCACCATCCCACAACTTGCCACCGCATATATTCAGCTTTCATGGGCGTACTACTTAAACAGGCGCCAGCCGCTTGATCCGATTAGAGCTTCTAGCGCCCCCCACTTTCCGCTTTTCAGTCGCCATGCAGACAGTGCGTTTCTGCACTCGACGAGATGGCCGACTGAAATTTCTGTCGCACTCACAATGAAGTACAGCTGTGTTGTGATTAAAACGGTGGTGGTATGCCGCAAAGTCACCATATCCTGTTCGGGCTGCTAAAAGTCGAGCAAATATAGCTCTAGGCAGAGCAAGCTCTGGCGGTTTCTTGCGCCGCATTTCAAGGTTGAGATCTACGTATCTTCAAGACCGGTGTGAGTCCCACCAGTGTTTTGGTAGCTATCCCGATAGCTCACGGGATTTGCGCCCTATTGACGCAAGAGTGAGAAAATCTGTCGGA